AGGGGATCGAACCCACAACCTTCAGGCTCTGTGCTGTATAAATACATGGCCGTGTGTTGCGGTCCATCAGTGTCAGAGAGTGTGTGTTATCTCGGTCCCCGCTTTGTCGGTCGCACTAATCCCCAGAACACTGCGGGTCGTTACCGCCATTGACCCCGTCTCTGGTCTCTGATTGGTCGATTTCCTCAGACACAGAACACGCTTCACAAACTGATGCCTTTGCTAATGCGTTTTTCATGAGGCCGTGGTCCCATTGTCTGTTTCATGGTGCGACGACGAGACCGGCTCACAGACTTTCTGATTTGTGAGACGGTGGAGGGCGGGACATCGAAATGAAAACAATTTAGGGGCTGGAAAAGTAATTTAGAAATTCCAATAACTCTGAATGACTAATCAGTTAAAGAAGGATTGGACAAGAGCGGTTTATTGTTATGACAGATTAGGGCCCTTTAATGAAGACAGATTAGGGCCCTTTAATTATGACAGATTAGGGCCCTTTAAGGATGACGGATTGGGCCCTTTAATGATGACAGATTAGGGCCCTTTATTGATGACAGATTAGGGCCCTTTATTGATGACAGATTGGGCCCTTTAATGATGATATGTTAGGGCCCTTTAATTATGACAGATTGGGCCCTTTAATGATAACAGATTAGGGCCCTTTGATGATGACGGATTATGGCCCTTTAATAATGACAGATTGGGCCCTTTAATTATGACAGATTAGGGCCCTTTAATTATGACAGATTAGGCCCTTTAATAATGACAGATTGGGCCCTTTAATTATGACAGATTAGGACCCTTTAATGATGACAGATTAGGGCCCTTTAATAAAGTCAGATTGGGCCCTTTAAACATGACAGATTAGGGCCCTTTAATTATGATAGATTAGGGCCCTTTAATGATGACAGATTAGGGCCCTTTAATGAGGATGGATTAGGACCCTTTTATGATGAAAGATTAGGGCCCTTTAATAATTACAGATTAGGGCCATTTAATTATGACAGATTAGGGCCCTTTAATGAGGACAGATTAGGGCTCTTTAATAATGACAGATTAGGGCCCTTTAATTATGACAGATTAGGGCCCTTTAATAATGACAGATTAGGGCCCTATAATAATGGCAGATTAGGGCTCTTTAATAATGACAGATTAGAGCCCTTTAATCATTACAGATTAGGGCTATATAATAATGACAGATTAGGGCCCTTTAATAATGACAGATTAGGGCTCTTTAATAATGACATATTAGGGCCCTTTAATTATGACAGATTAGGGCTCTTTAATAATTACAGATTAGGGCCCTTTAATAACGACAGATTAGGGCCCTTTAATAATTACAGATTAGGGCCCTTTAATTATGACAGATTAGGGCCCTTTAATAATTACATATTAGGACCCTTTAATAATTACAGATTAGGGCTCTTTAATAATGACAGATTAGGGCCCTTTATAACGACAGATTAGGGCCTTTAATGATGACAGATTTCTTTCTAATGTTGAGTGCAGTTTAGATTCTAAATTCTTGACGCATTTTTAGAAAGACATTCCGATTATTAGAGAATGTTTTCGTTTTTGTGCAAATGTGAAAAATGATTTGTTTGTTTTTGTTTTGTCCTTTTCATCCTTGCTTTGCGGTTTTTGTTATGCTGATATCTCTGTGTAATTGTCCATCTTAATTTTCAAAATGTCCTTAAATGAAAAAAATAAATTATTGCAGAAATGTGCGTCTGAAAAGGCAGAATACAGCTTTGTAGACTTGTCCCAGTGTAATGCAGCGGCTCAGAGAAAACACTGCGCCGTCTGCAGTCTGTCATGTTTGAATTTAAATGCTAATGCGGACGCCACATCTTGGAAACAGCCGGCGAGACCAGATCCACTCGCTCTGTCCATAAATGTAAGAATATCCAGGCGTCGATAGTGAAGCCTCCAACAGAAGAACACCACGTCTGCAGCAGCGTCACCAGAGAGCGGACTTTAATGTGTTTGTCCCGAGTCTCAAGTTAAACAACAAGAACAATGCACTGGTTTTTAAGGCGCTTTTCTGGATTCTCGAAGATTATTCTTTCACTCCATCAAAGAGAGAGGTCCAAGCCTTCAGCCACTCCCCCCACAACCGCCAACCATTCAACCACATGTACAGACTTCATCATGATAATGAGGGGGCGACTGTAGCTCAGTTGGTAGAGCATTGGCCTTTCGAGTCCACCATGGGACCTACTATAACTGCTCCCACAAATGTCTACTGTTGTTGTGTCCTTGGGCAAGACACTTAACCCCAGGTTGCCCGAAGCCCCTGCCGAAAGAACTAGGCCGCGTGCGTCAAGAAGCCACCCACCACTTGCAGGGGGATCAGCGAGGGACTGGTGCTATTAGCATTGGGTGGCAGCTCTCATTGCCACCCCCGACCCAGAAATGGACAAATGAAGGAGTTGAAATTTATGAATAAATTAATAATAATAATAAATCGTTTTTATACAGAGATTTTCTAGTCTCTCAAAGTCTCTTCACATGTCATTATTCATTCACTCCATACACGGTGGTGATAAACTACTACTGAAGCCACAGCTGCCCTGGGGCACATTGACATACCCCTCCCAACCCTTCACACACACCAGACACATTCTAATGTGGTTGAAGAGTCTTGCTTAAGGACACAACCACAGTTGTATTACTTTACACTCACAGCCGCCCCCACTGTGGCACTCCAAAGTCTCCCATCACAGTGCTAACCAGATCCTGCCCTGCTTAGCTTCAGAGGTCTGACAGGATCGGGCTCTTTGCAAGTACCAACATTTATGGACATTAGTCTCTATGTGTTTTTTACCAATGCATTTGTTTTGTTTAAACTCCTTGATTCTCTGATCTGTGTTGGAGAATCGACAGCTTTGATAAGTCCTCCTTGGTGACTACTGTTGTCATTTAGAGCAATAAAGAAATAAATGGAATTGAACTGTAACAAAAGGTAAAGTTCAGCCATAACACCGTCAGAAGGTAGTTAAAAAATAGTGACACTTGACACCATTTCGACTTCAGCCCCGCCTCCACACCGGCCTCTGCAGCTGATTGGTCCAGGCTGAGTCCGCCCAGAGGATAGCAAAGCACGTTAGCTCGCGGGAATATTCAAGGTCATTTGTTGTGTATTTTTAGCTCGTATTAATAACCGGCCGTTGGTTTTCCGTGCACTATTTTCCGACCCTCTGATTGCATTGTATAACCGTGCTCTTCCAGATGCCGCTCCACAACCCAAACCCAAACAGGACGTTATACTTTACAGAAAAAGTCACCTTCGAACAGATCCAATGGGACGGTATTCGGTGTTAGCAAAGCCACCGAGCCAACAGGGCTTCTAGTTTGTTGGAAGAGTTGGTAGTGGTCAGAGCTACATGGTTCGGTTCACATTTAGCAGACATAACTAACATAAGAGATTTTATTCTGGCTTCTTTATGATGCTAAAGTTAGAGATTTAAGATTCTTTATTATGCTAAAGCTATAGATTTTATACTTGCTTCTCTATTTTTCTAAAGTTTGTGGTGAAGACAAGTGTGAGCTCTTTCCATTCATATGTTTTCATTCTGACAAAGGCCTTGTACCCAGTAAAATGTACAAATGTATAACTTACTCAGCAGTCCAAGCTAATTTCATATTCTTGAAATGCTTACTTACATTTTAGCTAAAATAAAAGTCCAGTGCTAAATTGTGCGACATATGAACGTCTGCCGTTGCTTAGAAATGTCCTTATTTGTGAATGAAAAGCTGTAGTTATATAAAAACTGATAATTGTTTGAGAGAACGCAGCTGTGTTACTGCTAATCTGAGCTGGTTAGAACATTATTTTCTCATTTACAAGTTAAACAAATGTGGGTACAAGGCCTTTGCACTGTCCGTTACTAAGAAGCCATGTTTTGTCATTTGGCGAAATACTAAAACGCAGCTTAGCGAAACACCGATATACCATCCCAGAACCAAAATGGTGCGTTCCAGTTTTCTTTGGAGCCTGAATCAGAAAAACACCAAAAAAAACATTCTGACCGCATTTGTTCAGAGAATCACCCAAGAGCCCTGCTGTTGCCTGGGTGATTTCATCTATACCTCAATGATCCACGGCCCCAATATCAATTTCAAAAGTGTAGGCACAGAAATACAACTGTATGGTTAGGTCTGTTATGTTAATATTGCCAACAAAGGCCAACATTAACTGTATAAAAAAAAATCTCATTGTTTTGTTTTTTCCCATCTTGGCATTACATTTTAGTATTTCGCTTAGACGTAGGAAACTCTGAGACGCCAGGAAAAAAAACTGGAACGCTGAGACTCGCCCAAAGAGCAGAAGTTTTCAAACCTTTGAGACCAGAGAACCATCAATGGTAGATTTCGATGTTAGTCAATCCCATGTGTAAAAACATCCATTTCTAATCAATTGTTTTATGTGAGAAAGCCTATGGGGCTGCTAAGTACAAACACCGCTAAAGCTAATTGGGCTAAAGCTAATTTTGAGCATAAAGCCAGTCCATCTGCTGTATTATTGATTCCATGTGTGGTTGATAATCACAGTGTGTCCTTAGAGTCTGAAGGTCTGAAGTTTGTCGAGAGCAAAGTTGTCACCCTGAGCAGCCCCTAGTGGTGCCTTTTGTGTGCCTTTCTGAGCTTTGCAAGGTCTATAGGAATGTCTATCAAAAGGAAATGCAAATATTCAAGTAATAAGAAATGTTTGAGATTCTTTCTGGACCCCAGTTTGAGAACCACTGCCATAGAACCCACACAAGACGGCCACAAAAACAATCAAATTCAACACGTTTTGCAGTTGGTTTCATCTAATTTCAAACAGATTTCAAAGAGTTTTACCTCCTTTCTCGGCAGATTTGTCCAAACTTCGGAAGTACCCGTTACCGTATTTTTGCGGCTTCAGAAGAATCCGTTATCGTCTTGGCAACTTCAGACAAATATCCGTTATCGTCGTTGCTAGGGGGAAGCGCCCTACAAACGGGGCCAAGGTTATGCTACACCTCGCTGGAAGTCCTTCGTCTTAGCGAGAAGCTGGGCACGCACCCGCAGCACGCCATCCACAGGGACTTCTGGATGTCCGGGTTCCTGAAGGCGTAGATCACCGGGTTGATGACGGAGCAGCAGGCCGCGGGGAGAACCGTCACGTAGGTGTAGACCGCGGGGTACGACGAGTCCGCCACGATGGAGTACATGGCGAAGGGAAGCCAGCAAGCCCCGAAGGCACACAAGATGGCCGACAGCGTGGACACTCCTTTGGTGGTGGAGATGGCGAGGAACTGGTGCTGGACGGCGATTTGCTGTGCGTGGCGGAAGGCGATTTTGCAGATCTGGAGGTAGAGCTGCGTCATCAGAGCAAAGATCAGGAGGAAGGCCACGGCGAGGGCCACGGCGTTGTTCTTGGTGACGGGACGGCAGACGCTGCACGCCGCCTCGTCCTGAAGGCAGTTCCAGCCAAAGGCGGGGAGCAGGCCGAGCGCAACGCACAAAACCCAGATGAGGACCACCATGACGTAGGTGAAGGTCAGGGTCCTCTCCGTGTGATAGGTCAGCGCGTTGTACAGCGACAGGTAGCGGTCCACGGTGATGGCGAGGATGTTCAGGACGGACGCGGAGAAAGCGGAAATCAGCAAACCCACCGACAGCAAAGTGACGAACTCCACCGAGCTGTCCACTAAGTAGGTGAAGACAAAGTTCACGATGAGCCCGAGCCCCGCCAGGAGGTCGGCCACCGCCAGCGAACCGATAAGGATGAACATCGGCGAGCGCAGAGTTGGCGTGTAGAAGAGGACGGCGATGACCAGAGCGTTCTCGCAGGAGATGAGCGTTCCGGTGACGCACAGGGCGATGTCCCAGGGGCTCACGTCCTGCGGCGGGAAGAAGGAGGTGTCTGGGGAGGTGTCGGAGGGGGAGGTCAGCGCGGGGGAGGGGTCTGGGGAGGAGGAGGTGTTGGTGGCATCGGTCCAGGACGAGGCGTCAAAGGGGTCCGGCCTCGAGGAGGAGTTCAAGCCGCCGCTCAGGGCGACTGCGGCGGCCAGCGAGACGATCATGGCTGCCAACGAGAAGAGGGAGAGTCAGGTTCAACAAGTTCTCTTTTCTCAAACACACATTTTAATAACAGTATAAGCCCGATACTTTTATGCTGCTGTTTTAATGACATCATCATAATGTTTTTTGTTATTTATATTTGTGTTTTTACTTTTCTCTTGTGACTCACTTTGAACTGCTTTGTTCACAAATTGTGCTAAACTAATAAATGATTGATCGATTGAATTGATAAAACCGAAATGTACTTCTGAAAGTACTGTAAAAATCTAAACTCAATCACAACTTTGGAGTTCCATCCATCCATCTTCTTCCCCTTAATCCATGTCAGGGTGGGGGTGGCAGTCAGAGCACCAGCCCCTGATCCTCCTGCTGGTGTCCACAGGAGGCTGCTCTGTCTGTGGGGGCTTCAGGCAAAGTGGGGTTAAGTGTCTTGCCCAAGGACACAACAACAGCAGTCATGGAGAAGGTCTCGTGATGAGGGGAACACTAACCCAGGTCTAACACCTGAGCCAATGTCGCCCCTTTCTGATGACTCATTGACTCTAATTATAAGTGGGAACAATGTCTGCACAGAGTGAAGGTGAGGGGCACTTGAATCCCCTCAGGCCCCGGGGCCCTTCTCCCGATGTGGATGTTGTTGGGGCCGGAGCTTTGACCTACTGTACATGTGTTTACAGAGAGGGGAAACCGAAGCACCTGGAGTAAACTCTACTCAGAGAGGCCCTGTTCCGACCATTTGACCTCAGGACCTCTTTGCTCAGAAAGAAAGTGGCAAGACAAGTTTCTTTGTATGAATAAACTTCTCGCGCTGCGTCTCTCTCATTCACAAAACAACTCAAGAGCTAAACAAAACCAGGAGGAGCTGAAAAAACACCAGATTACACCAGATGTCGCTCATTTGCATACGTCGTCCCAAGGTCAGTCACAAACACACAACTATTAACCCTCTCCTCATGTACATGTTTTAGTGGTAGGGGAAACCGGAGCATCCAGAGAAAACCTACGCAGACACGGGGAGAACAAACAACTCCACACAGACAAGTCCTGAGGAGGAACTGAACCCAGCGCCACAAGTGCATAAATAATTACAGTGGATTAAAACGAGGTCCCTGTGCTCCTCAGAGTCCCAGCAGGAGGCCAGTCCCTGTGCTCCTCAGAGTCCCAGCAGGAGGCCAGTCCCTGTGCTCCTCAGAGTCCCAGCAGGAGGCCAGTCCCTGTGCTCCTCAGAGTCCCAGCAGGAGGCCAGTCCCTGTGCTCCTCAGAGTCCCAGCAGGAGGCCAGTCCCTGTGCTCCTCAGAGTCCCAGCAGGAGGCCAATCCCTGTGCTCCTCAGTCCCAGCAGGAGGCCAGTCCCTGTGCTCCTCAGTCCCAGCAGGAGCCAGTCCCTGTGCTCCTCAGTCCCAGCAGGAGCCAGTCCCTGTGCTCCTCAGTCCCGGCAGGAGGCCAGTCCCTGTGCTCTTCAGAGTCCCAGCAGGAGCCAGTCCCTGTGCTCCTCAGAGTCCCAGCAGGAGCCAGTCCCTGTGCTCCTCAGAGTCCCAGCAGGAGCCAGTCCCTGTGCTCCTCAGAGTCCCAGCAGGAGCCAGTCCCTGTGCTCCTCAGTCCCAGCAGGAGGCCAGTCTCTCTTGACGTCACTGCTCTCACGATGATTCAGAAAAAGGACTTTTGTTGACAGACTACAACTCTGCCTGAATCATCAGCTCAGTCACCGAAGGGAGAGGAGGGGGAAGGAGAGAGAGCAGAAGGGGGAGGAGGAGAGAGAGGGAGGGAAGAGAGAGAGAGAGAGGGAGGAGAGAGAGGGAGGTAGGAGGATCAGAGGAGAGAGAGAGAGGAGCCATGTGTCACAGGAGGAAACCTGAACCAGGAAAAAGAGCTGAGCACAAATGTTCAGACGGCATATGTGATAAAAACAAAGAAGTTTTGGAAGATGGACTTTACGGAGCTTTTATTGTGTTTTCTACCAATGTTTATTATTTATTTTTAATATTTATGGAATTATTGACTTTACCGGGTTCTTCTCACAGAACGACAGGTTCTGTGGTTCACCAGGTGAGATTACTGATCACTAACTGCAAATCTACCAAGACACGGCCGTCCTCCTGGACCTGGACAAGATCGGTCTGATCTGACGGAGGGTTGTTTTGTAAAGACGAATGGGGCAAAACTTTCAGTCTCTAGATGTGCATAGTTTGTAGAGCCATAAAGCAGAGGAAGTGGTACAAGCACTTTTGCAATTCACTGTAAATGACTCACGCATTAAAATCTAAAACAGCTGTGAAAGACGAGAGAAACCCCCCGGAACAAGAACTTTCTTCAGAGATCGCTCCTTTGTGAAGATTGTTTTTCCGATTCATTTTTATTTTCATTTTAAAAATGCACTTTAGTATGAATTTATGAAAATAACCAGTACTTTATTTGTGTTTGTGGACATTTTGTTTTAAACTAATAACTTTATAGGGACCAGAAAACAAAACAATCTGTGGCAGCACATAATACGTAACAAGGTTAATTTAACAGGTTTGAGGTTCATGGTTGGAGCGGACCAGAAAGACCTGTGAACCAGGCCCAACGTGGCCCCCAGGCCGCACTCTGCCCAGGTCTGCATGAGAGAAGCTCTCTCTGGTCTCTCGCTCTCTCTTTTGTCTCTTTCTGGTCTCTCTCTTTTGCCTCTCTCTGGTCTCTCCCTCTTTAGTCTCTCTCTCTCTCTGGTCTCTCTTCAAGGTTTTACTCTGAACATATGAGACCTTTTTAAAAACACATTGCAATGACAATGATAGAATATTTGATCCTTGATTAAAATGCAGCTCTCGAGGAACCACACATGCTTCAAACCATAGAGACCAGAGAGAGACCAGGGAGAGACCAGAGAGAGACCAGAGAGAGACCAGAGAGAGACTAGAGAGAGACTAGAGAGAGACCAGAGAGAGACTAGGGAGAGAACAGAGAGAGACCAGAGAGAGACCAGAGAAACCAGAAAGAGAACAGAGAAACCAGATAGAGACCAGCTGAGAGACCAGAGAGAGACCATAGAGAAAGAAAGTCTGTGCACCTTTGAATCATATTGGACTAAATCTGTCAATCAAAATCACATCAGCACAAAGACACGCCAGTGTTTACGTCGTTTTGTGACGCAGACGGTCGTGTAAACGCACCAACAGCAGCCCTTACACAACACAACACAACACTCACACAACACAAACACACGCACACACACGGGCACGCGCACGCACACACACACACCCGCGAGCGCACCTCACCAGCAGCCGCAGATCGCGCGCCCCAAAAAGCCTCCAGAAACCGCTCTATTTTTAGCGCGTGTCTAAAAATGGTGCAGACGCGTGACGTCCCGGGGCAGCGCGGGGAGGAGATGCGTCTTTTCCCGTGGCCGCGCGCTGGAGCTGGAGCAGGGGAACCATGCTGAACCAGGCTAATTTTAGCTCAGCAGAGATGTTCATTCATAAAAAACAAAAAACAGCTCCTCCTACTCCTCTTCCTCTCCTCCTCTTCCTCTCCGTCTGCAGGTCGCGCCGCGGTCTCTGCGTCATGTGGCGTCTTAAAGGAGACATATCGTGTTTGCCTCATTGTTGTTTTATTCAAATCAGAGCAGGACCTGGTGAAGGAGAGCGGTACCACCGGGAGGCTCTGTGTGAAAGGTACCACCGGGAGGCTCTGTGTGAAAGGTACCACCGGGAGGCTCTGTGTTAAAGGTACCACCGGGAAAAAATATGACCAAAATCACAAAAATAAGTAAAATAGGATTTCTTGTATTTTATAAAAAAAAATGAGAAATGTTTGCTTCACAAACTTATTTTATCTTAATAAGAAAAGTTGTTTAGAAATAGGAAAAAATACTTGAACAAAAACAAGGTTAAAAACTTACTGCTCAGACGTTTTCCAAGATTATTAAATATCATTATCTTAAAACTAGTAAAATAATCTTATGACAAACTACATCCAAGCAACACACACACTTATTTTTAGTGAATACATTAGACCAAGATTTCCCTTTTTCCAGGAGGATTTTCTCCACTTTTTGAACAAAACTCTCTGGTCTTATTTGAGGAGCTCGTGTCACCAGAATGATTGACAGCTGGGAGGACCAATAGTGTTGATGATCCACCCGGAAGTAGAAAATTGTCCTCTACACCTTTAAGAGATTGGTTTAAAAAGGCACTAGCTACAGCGGGATACAGCCTCTGACACAGACTCTCTGTTGGTTCTTCTTCAACTTTAACATATTCTGTAGCGGCGGGGAGTCGCAATATTTTGCACACACGATTAAACCGATACATTAGACAATCACACAAGATATTAAAAATCATATATAATCACAGTGCATTTAAAAGAGCGACGCTAAAATCCCTCAGTCTGCACTTTCCTTCTGTGTTAATAATCCCAATGAGACTGAATTGTGGCCTTTGTTTCCATCCATCCATCCATCCATTTTCTTCCGCTTCATCCGTTGCCGGGTCGCGGGGGTAGCAGTCTAAGCAGAGACGCCCAGACTTGCCCTTGTTTTTGACTGAACTATTCTAACACCGGCTTTAAGCTTAGGCTCTTTGTCCTTAAGTCTGTAGCACATATACATTGAATATCTACATTCTTCCCTGCCCCTGCTGAAGAAAAGCAGCCCCACAGCATGATGCTACCACCCCATCATTGACACTGGGGATGGTGCACAGAGGGAAGTGTGTTAGCTTTATGTTAGCCAGGTTAGCTTCATGTTTTAGCCTTTTGTTAGCTTTAGGTTAGCCTTAGGTTAGCGTTTTGTTAGCTTTAGGTTAGCGTTATGTTAGCTTTAGGTTAGCTTTAGGTGTGTCCCACTCTCGTCAGCACCAGATGAAATATTCCGGGAAATTCTAGTCAGTACTGTTTATCTATATAGCACAATGCCCAAACCCGGCTCACACAAACACTGACCAATCAGACCATCCAAGTCCTATTGTCCATGTTTACAGCGGTAGGGAAACCGGAGCACCTGCGGGGAAACCTACAGACACAGGGAGAACATGCAAACTCTACCCAGAAAGGCCCCACACAAACCAGGACCAAACTAATAAAATTGCGTTTTAAAGGAGACATATTTTTTCTCTACGTTACTACATTGTTCCTGATCAGTCACAGACCTAGAGTTGTGTTTAGATTCGTCCACGCTAATGTCAGGAACTTATGGCACAAATATGTTACTCCTCTCCCTGGTGGCAGCGCAGGGAGTTACAAGCAGAAAGCATTTAGTGAGACAGAAAGTATAGTCTCATTATGATTCTAAAGGGCAAAAGTAATTCCTAATGTATTTATTTTGTGTATTTATCTATTTAAATATCTATTGTGAACATTTATAGCTGAGGATAATTATGCAAAGTCCGTCCCTATTTCTGCTTTAAAACGGCAGAAAACAGCTCCATATACAGCCTGAGGATTCTGTCACGTATAACGAGTTTGAAAGCAGAGTGTTTAGACAGAAGGGGCGGGGTGACATGCTTAACATTGAAGACCGATGTTGAAATATGGAGAAAAGGTAGAAAAAGACCACATCAGCGATCCAGACAGAGCGTATGTGAGAAAGAACAGACTTTGAACAGACTTTGATCCTCGGTCCATTCACAGTTTTTACTTCATTCATAAATTCTTTGTTCATGAGTTGCTTTTGGTAAAACAGAAATGTGGGATTATCAAAACAAAACGAAGATCATTCAGACAGTGGTGATCCAGGACGTCCCACATTCAGCCACGTTTATGGACCAATGTCTCTGTGTGTTTTTTATCATGTGTTTCCTGTCTTTGAATGGTTTGATTTTCTGATCTGCTCTTGGTGAATCGGCAGCTTAAAGTCCTCAGAGATCACTACTGTTGTGATTTAGGGCGATACAAAACAAACTGACGTAAATTGAAATTAATCGGCTGCAGCTCTCAGAGACACAGAGAGAACACATCACCCCTGTGCTGATTTTAAACTCTGCTTGTTCTAAATGTTTGAATGATTCTGTTTTTCCGGGCGGCTCCGTAATAATAATTTATGATGATACTGAGGCCACAGCTGCCCTGGGGCACACTGACAGAGGCGAGGCAACCAGTCTGTGCCATCAGCCCCTCCCACCACCACCAACCATTCACACACACACACCAGACTCATTCTAATGTGGGGGAAGTGTCTTGCCTAAGGACACAACCACAGCCGCAGCCGCCCCACTGTGGCACCTGCTGTTCCGAGAGGTCTCCATCACAGCACTGATCTAGCCCTGTCCTGCATAGCTTCAAAGGTCTGACGGGATATGGTCTTTTACCTACAGGTGGCGCCACTCCCTCAATGCGGAAGTTCAAACAGCAAATATTCAATGCAATGTAATTGTGTATCGCCCTAAAATTACAACAGTAGTTTATCTCAGAAGACTTCGAAAATTGTCGATTTGCCGACAGCAGATCAGAAAATCAAACCGTTCAGGTAACACAATAATAAAAACTAGTTCTTCTTTTTTGCATTTTACATGTGAGCATATTTAATGTTTACTTCCTTGCGCAGCTGTTGTCGTAAACGTGCCATACAATTAAAGTAGACATTGAGATACAAACGATTTTATGAATGGGATTTTGCCGCGTGTCTTACGTTATAAACTAAAAACGCGATGGGAACGTGCTGCGGCGTCATTTCCACCTCACTACAGGAGGGTATATTTTTGGGGTGCAGTTTTCAAACCCAAATATAGCCCCGCGTGCGCTCCTCTCCCTCGGCGCGTGCGTGGGTATTTATAGTCTTTCATAAAAATGGGTTATTTTAAGATGCTCAAACTGGAATCACGCTAAAATCACGACGGCAGCAAAAAAACGCGTTTGGGGAAAAATGATGATGTGGGAGCCGCGGATGGATGCATGTGCAGAGGGGAGACAAGGGGGAGACAGAGGGGGGAGAGAGGACGCGCGTGCTCACCCGGTTGGATCCACTCCTCCCCCGGTCCGCGAGAGTCCCGAGTCCACGTTGCAGGTCCCTGGATCCTCCGCGCTTCGAGTCCAGACCAGAATAATCCAAAACGTGTGTGAGCTGCGTCTGCGCTGGTGCTGATGCTGCTGATGGAGACACGGTGACGCGCGAGGAGACTGCGCGAGTGCGTGGGGGCGGGAGGCAGGGGAAGGAGGAGGGAGGCAGGGGGGGGGGGGGGGGGGGCTGCGTGGAAATGTGGAAATATGACATCCCATTGATCAAACCGCTTCGTGTGCGATAGTATGTGAGGTGACGTACTAAAGCTGGGCTACGTAACTTATGTTACATTATGTAAATAGTAAAAAAATCCATGTCTCTGGTTCCTGGGTCTACACACTTTGTTTTCACCTCTTGTTTTTGGTCTCTTTCTGGTCTCTCTCTGATCTATCTCTGGTCTCCCTCTGGTCTATCTCTGGTCTCTCTCTGGTCTCTCTCTGGTCTCTCTCTGGTCTCTCTCTGGTTTCTCGCTGGTCTCTCTCTGGTCTCCCCCTGGTCTCCCCCTGGTCTCTCTCTGGTCTCTCTCTGGTCTCCCTCTGGTCTATCTCTATGGTCTCCCTCTGGTCTATGTCTCGGGTTTCTCTCTCTGGTCTCACTCTGTGGTCTCTCTCTGGTATCTCTCTCTGGTCTCTCTTTCTCTGGTCTTTTTCTCTCTCTGGTATCTCTCTCTGGTCTCTTTCTCTGTTCTCTGAAGTCTAAATGATTGAATACATTGGAAAATACTTATAAACTGAATAGGAGATGACCAGGATGAGCAACACTGCCCTCTACTGACAGAAGCAGGATACGACATCGTCAGATAGAGACATTGTAATTTGGACATTTGTGGATGTCCAGAAATATCATTGGTATGTATTATTATTATTATTATTATTATTACAGAACAAAAGCTCTACCAATAAAACCAAAATACAAGTGTAAATTGTTGTATATTGCAAAAAGTACACAGATGTATCAAAGAGTTAAGACTATTTATTATTATGTTTGCTGTTTGGCTGAGCTGCTTCCTCTGGTCATGCAGAGTCTGCTTGGTTCAGACCGTTCTGTCTGCTCTGGTTCAGAGTGAAATTCTGAATTATTTATTATAATAACAATTAACACAAATATAATAAAAATAAACGAAAGACAAAAATATAGATTGTAAAAAACAAAACTGTCTCCTGGGCATTCTAAAGTAAACCCTGTGTGCGGGGGAAAGGTTGGCGTGTTGTTTGGACCCTGCTGTTGTCCTGGTCGTCCGAGACTCCGGGACAGACGACCCTTTTAACCTCCATCAGTGCGACACACGTCAGAACATATATCACACATATGGATTCATGCACAGACAATCAATGGTAAAAGCTGCGGACGATTAAAGCTGAGGTACGTAACTTTCAGGCCACAGTAGAACTCTGATGGAATCATGTTTACGTCCAGTTCTCACACGTTTCACTGGTCTCTCCAAACGAGCCTAAAAACGAGAATTATATTAAAAGTGAGTCCTGACTAGAACCCGGAAGTACCATCACATTAGTCCTGACTAGAACCCGGAAGTACCATCACATTAGTCCTGACTAAGAACCCGGAAGTACCATCACATTAGTCCTGACTAGAACCCGGAAGTACCATC